GACACAATCGTATACGTTCCATGCACAGAAACTATAGAGTATATGTATGTTTGTGAATAAACAGTTGTTGCATGCTTCCATAGTCTCAGTGAAACAGCTGATTGCTCAGATTACAGAAGATTGTATTATAGATCTTTAGGAATGATCTAGTTTTGTTTGTGAGTCCTTCCCCAGGAATGTCAGCTTTGAGCTTGCATTGAAGTCATTGTACCAGGTGCTAGCTACATTGACTTTGGGAATTCCATGAGGGAAAGAGGATTGGCACATTCCTTTCATCCCTTAGATATTTCATTATCTTTTGCCTAAACAACACAAGCAATGATGTGTTCTTGCTAAAATGCAAAGATCTTGGAATGCTGAGTTCCACACATTTTATGTGGTTAGGAAGAATCTTACTTTGTTCTAAACTTTTGTCATAGTTTTGAACAGAAGGGGATTAGATCTAAAATAAGTGTGGTAGGTGACATGCATCTGAGGAGGTGTGATACTATGCCTCTGGACCACATACAGTATTGTAAACCAGTTTTACCACAATAAAACAAACAAAAAAAAGAGGCGCCTCCCTGGTGGTGCAGGGGTTAAAGTCTCAACACTATTAAGCTGTTGCCAGCCACTGCAACATGAGTTTGATCTCCAGCCAGGGAGCTAACCCACGTGAGGAGGCAGACCTCTCCTGTCTCGCCTGCTGCTCCCCTTAACAGTGCATTTTAGTAGATCTGCCTGTTCGGCTCCTCGCTCTGTCTCTGGTGAATCTTCTCACCCCCAGCACCTTTGGCTTAGGCCCCAGTTTCTTTCTTTCTTTTTTTTTTAAGATTTATTTATTTATGCAAGAACTGGGGTACAGTCAGAGGCACCGGAGGGTGAAAGAATTCACCAGAGACAGAGCAAGGAGCAGAACAGGCAGATGGACCAAGAACACTGCTGAGGGGAGCAGTGGGCGAGACAGGAGAGATCTGCCTCGCCATGTGGGAATCTCCCTCGCTGGCTGGGAATCGAACTGGTGCTGTGGATGCAGCGGACAGCTTCACAGCGTGGTGCTCAACCTGCTGTGCCACCAGGGAGGCCCAGGCCCAAGTTCTTGTATGCATAAATAAATAAATCTTTTTTAAAAATATGTGGAATATTTAGATTTAAGTTAAATTGCAAATTTTTATCATAGGTGTTGCCTGTGTTCTGTGATGTGATATTCATTGCATTTTTAAAAAAATATTTATGCATAGAAGAACTGGGGTATAGCCAGAGGTGTTGGGGATGGGGGTGAGAGAATTCACCAGAGACAGAATGGGGAGCAGAACAGGTGGATTTACTGAAATACACTGCTGAGGGGAGCAGTAAGCAAGACAGGAGAGTTCTGCTATGTCATATGTGGGTTAGCTACTGGTTGGTATTGAACTTAGGTTGTAGCGGTGATAACACTGAGACTTAATGCTTACTCCATCAGGGAGGCCCCGCCATTGTATGTTTTTTAAATTTGTTTTTATATAACTGGTGTGAAAATGTACTATAACCCATTTTTTGCCTTTTTCCTCTTCATTTTTTATTTTTAAAATTATTGTGCAATAAAAATGACTTCCTATTTGTTGTACAGTTCTAACACCTATAGATTCATGCAGTCCTTATGATCAGCAAAATCTATCATCCCCAAAAAACTTTCTTGGGCAATTCTTCTGTAATCACATCTTTTTCACATTCGTATTCTCTGGCAACCACTTTTTTTTTTTTTTTTTTAACATTGTGGTTTTATCTTTTAAACGGTGAGGCTCTCCTTTGCCTGTTTTTAATGAGTTTTTTTTCTTGCCTGTTTTAGTGAGTTGCCTCAACTCATTTTTGTTTGACCTTTGCATGTCCTCAATTATTTTTCTTGTTCTCATCAGTTCTTATTTTCTCATTAAAAGACAGCGTCACAGGACTTGAGAAACAGACTAGTAGCTGGGTTTTAAATATGGTGTCCTCTATAATCTGGTGATCTTGGACAAGTTGTTTACCTCACAAGATTGTTACGAAAATTAAACAGTTCTAATTGTGTATAAAGTGTTTGACACATAGCCTAAGCTTTCTCTTCCTCTTCAGTTCATATCCCAAGAGTGCTTTCCCTGGAATAATCTAATCTTTTCGAGATGTTCAGTGAAGAGACCAAGAAAAAAACCCTGAGTTTTATTGTATATTGTAGCTGCTTTTTGGAGTCTCTCTCTCCCCCATCACCCCTGTGTATGTGTCTATATATATAGGCACACACATACACACAAATACACACACATACGCACGTATAATTTTTGAGCAAAACTGGTTCTTTGCTTTTTACAAGGTTGAGTTGCAGAAATTCCTTGTTTTTTCTGTATTCCCGATTCAATATTGCCTGTCAAAATCAGACAGACAGGAAACCTGAAGATACTTTTTACTTGCATCTCTAATGGAAACTTTGACAGCAGACTTGAAGACAGTATATTAATGATTCTAATAATTTAGAATTTTCTTTGTTATAGGACTTGTTTTATTTAGCATTTTCTAATCTGATTTAACTATGGAATACTTGACCTGTGACATCTATTTAACCTATTTTTATGGAGCACACTTTGGGAAAGAGTGACATGATAAATATTATTTATCACATACATAGATTTAGTTTTTAAGTCTTGAAATAAACATTTTAAATGTGTATTAACTCATCTTGAAATGGGCTTATGTAACTTATAGTATCCTCGTTTTAAAAGTGTTAGCTGTTTTTGATTCCTTATCCTTGTTTCTAAGGAAGTTTTATGCGGTGGTTTGAAAGTTTGATTCCTGGACCAGTAGCATCAGTATCACCCCTGGATGATAAAATGCAAATTGCTGGCTCCCACCCTAGACCAACTGAATCAGAAATGTAGAGTGAGGCCCCATAATCTGTTTTGCAACATATCCTTCAGTTAATTCTGGTGTGTGCCAAAATTGGAGCATCTATTCACTATAGAGAATCATTTAATTTGGGGTTTTGTTAGCAGAGCAACAAATCTGAGAAGATTCAGATAATGTAGGTCTGGCTAGGATTAACCAAAACTACTTTTTGTACTATCTGTTGATGTTGAAAAGCTTCGTAAAATATATTAGAGCACTAATACCACAGATTGGTTTATTTTATTGCTTTAGACAATGGCAAAATTATACAAAAGTTTGCAAAATCAATTCACTGGGAAGCTACCAGCAAGTTGATGGTAGAGTGGGAAAGGAAAGAGAACATAAGAATACTTCACATATAGCAAAGGTGTTTTATGACTCATTTATACATGTTTGTATGCAGGGGTACATTGGGGGCATAAAGGGAGAAGAGGAAGGAACACTGGATCAGAGTCTGAAAACTTGGGTTTGAGTACCACTCAGGATTTTCATCAAAACCCTATATATCATAGAATTGCTGTAAGAATTAAATCAGTGATTTTTAACTGGGAGTGACTGACCCTCCAAGGGACATTTGACATGCCTTTTGAGATACTTTTGGCTGCCACAACTGGAGATTTTGTGCTACTGGCATTTATGGCTAGAGGACTGGAATGCTGTTAAATATCGTATACTGCATGTACCAGTGCCCCACAGTGAAGAATTATATGGCCAGTGTCAGTAGTGTCATGGTTGAACTCTAGATTCAGTGATTGTATTTTAAAAATTATAAACTGTCATATAAGGCACATTGTATTTTATTATTAAGAGTAATACTTCTTTTAAAAAGACTTTAAACACTTAAACATCCCAGTATTATCTTTTAAAGATGAATTTTTATTCTTCTAGGGAAGGTGAAGGAAACAGCAAATCTTTATTATCTTGGACAAGTTATTTACCTAATAAAGTATTATGAGAATTAGATGTGTATTGATATGGTAATTAGATATGCATTGATACATATTCCAAAAGACTTTTTCAGTTTCAGTAATATTTTGATATATAGAAATGGTGTTGAAGAGCATTTGGGTAAGAAATTATTTTGTAGCAATACAGGAAACCTCAGGGAAGACTGTATTTAAACACATTACATCAGTTCAGACGAAGAGCTTAATTCTGTGTGAGTCTACGCTAATCAAGTATAAAAAAAAGTAGCTTCCCATGACTTTAATCAGGATGCCATGACAGCTACAAAGTAATAAACCTTGGTTACAAAAATAACCAGAATTGAAAAATTTTGACTAGATGGACACAATCCAGACCATATTTTCTAGCTCTTAAACAAATTAATCTTTTTAATTCATGGTCAGAAAATCAAGAAATTATCAGAACCACAAATCCCATCATGAACAGCTGCTACTGATAATTTATGAAATAAGCTTTCTGAGGCATGTGCATTGGCTTTGGGAAAATTTATGATTACTGCTGAGAGTAAGTGGCAGCTTTTGCAGTTTCCTTTGATGAAATGTACTGGTTGAAAACACAGGTATGCTATTCTAATTAGTTGTAAATGTCATCTTATGTCTGATTAGGTGAATGGAGGTTAACCCACTTGGGGAGTCTGGCTCCCTTCAGATTCCCCAGAAGATAAGAAAAGGACTTTTTTCCAGTTGTTTTTGAGCCTCTCTATTGCTTGAGAGAACCTGAAATGGTGAAAGGAGTATGGGCTGAAATTAAATAAGACCTAAGGTTTGGAATCCTAACTTCACAAAGTAGCTCTGGAACTTGAATTTCAAGTTACTTAACATTTTTGAGCATATGTACATTGTTGATAATAATGCCTGTCCTTCAGGGCTGCAGGCAGTGATATTGTAAATTATAATACATAAATGAAAGTGTAAAGTACTGGTGCATATTTTGCTCCGTAAAGGTCAGCTATTATTACCAAGTTCCAAATCTTTAATTATTGGAATTGGTGGATTATTTTTTAATTTTGGCCTTAAAGATACAAAATATTATGAGTATATATTAGAGAATATGTTTTAAGAACAAAATAAGGGAAAAATGGATAAAAATACATGAAAACATGATGGGATCATGATTGCTTTTAGTTGTCTTCATTACTGTGGGTTTAGATTTTAGAAGATGGGCAAATATTCTGTAAGTAAGAAAAAATGTCAGCACAGATGAAATACATGTTCTAGGAGAATGGATATGAATAAGACTATTCTGCCCGTTACAAGGACCAGGACTGGGACCAGACATACTGTATTTTTCTATATTGTGTGATAATTCCTCCTTCCAAATAACAATACCAAAATAAAAATCCTTATAATGGTGATGCAGTGTAGTTACAAACTATTTTAGGTGAAGAGAAAAAAATGTTTAAGAACATTGAGAAGAAGAGATGAAATATGAGTTGTGTTACATGATGAGTTCACTAGGTAACTGGAAAGAAGAGGATTTTAGGAAGAGAGAATTGACATGTATGAAAATTAAACAAGTTGATCCGTTCAGAGAAATCCTGGTAGAATTGTAGATAGATGAAGCTTAAGGTATAAGAAATAATGGCAAATGTAAGGATGGAGAGCGAAGCAAGTGCCAGATCATGGCGGATCTTTCTTATACCATACTAAGGAATTTGGAACTTAACTCTGCAGTAGAGAGTTTATCAAAGATTTTAAGTTGGAATATAAACTTGAGGTTTATGCTTTCAGACTATCATAGAGGCAGTGTAGATATTATACTGGAATGGTGTGAGCCTGTGAGACAAGTCAGAAAGATCAGGTAGGTGAATGCTATAGCTGTTCAGGTAAGGAAATAGGGCGTGAATTGGGCCAGGGTTAAAGGATGTAGAGGAATGGTGGATTTGAGAGAGATTTAAGGACTAGAACCTACAGGATAAAGGGAATTAGGAAAGGAAGAGGGGTCTGAAATGATGAGACACAAAGAGAGAAACTACAAGTAGGAACTAAAAGGTTTTTGGCCCTTTTGTTATATCTTAGTTTATGTATGTGTAAAGTGTCACTTGAACTGTTGCTTTGGACAGTGATCTGGGTTGCTTGGATTTGGGAGCCATGATAGGCAAGAAAAAATACTCCCTCAAAAGGTATCTGATTGTATCTCTGGAACCTGTAAATGTTACCTCATATGGCAAAAAGAGGAGGGAACTGTCTTTATAGATGTGATAGGGAGAGTATCATACATTATCCAAGTGAACCCTAAATGCAGTGATATGTGTCCTTGAAAGAGAAAGATCTTAAGGGGGACTTTCTCTCGTGCACTCACACACTCTCTCTCTCTCTCTCTCTCTCTCTCTCTCTCTCTCTCTCACACACACACACACACACACACACACACCTTGGTATGAATGTAAAGCAGAGAGAAAGTTGAAGATACTGACCTTGAAGATTGGGGTGATGGGCCACAAACCAGAGGATGCTGATAGTCACCAAAGGCTGACAGGCAAGGAATGGATTCTCTTCTAGAGCTGAAGGAAGCTGAGGCCTTGCTGACACCTAATGGTAATGATTTTGAACTTCTGACCTCCAGAACTATGGGATAATGCATTTCTGTTATTTTAAGCCATTTTAATTTATGGCAATTAAACCACAGGAAACTAATATAGAAGTCAGTAGTTTAGTTTATAATTAAAAGTAATGGCTGTGAATCACTTTGCTAGGGAGGATGAAGAAATAAGAAGAGGAATGAGGATGGAAGTTTCTGTTATCTGTGAGGTCCAAACATAACAAGAAATATGGAGAAAAGCAAAAGAAAACAGACCATTTTTCAAATGTTTTTATTATTCCTTAAAGTTTTTACACATTAAAATTGTACTTGTAGCAAAGATTATCAAACTCCACTCATTGTCAGAGACCCTTGTGATATTAGTGAAAAACCAGTTCCTCATGTAAAACACTACCTATACTTGCTAGTTTGTTGGCCAGCCAGTGGCCTCAACTCCAAGCTCTTAACAGTGTGCAATTCAAAAGATATCTTTAACTCTGTTGCTCTCCATTCCAAGATCAGGCCGTTATCATCTCAGCGTAGTTTACTTACTTTAACTGTAAGCAGTCTGTCAGGAGTTCTTTAGACCAGTCTTTATGCCATCAATGTGATGTTCTCACAAATTGAGAATGTTTTCTTATTGCTTACTGTGACAAGTCTGACTCTTCAGGTCTGGATGACAAGGATGTTTGTCATTTGGTTCACAAATATCTCACATTATTTTATGTACATGCACATACATTTCTAGGCTTTTCTCCTAATGAGGACAAGTTGCTCAGCAACAAACTCATGGAGCTGGTTTAATGAATTAGCCACTCTCCTCAGAGTGGATTTCTAAATGTTCACAGAAAATACAACTAAGTGGAGAAATTGTTTTCTGAAAATCCTCAGAGAGAGCCTTTTATGTGGCTTTAGGAAATCTTTTCGTGAGTTGTTTGGGTTAGAGCTTGAGCCCACAATAGGGCCTGCCAAACTCCCTGCTGGGGTGTGTGAATCTGCTTTCCTGCAGAGCCTTTTGCCAAGTCAGGGTTCCAGATTTAGGGCCATAGATGAATTGTTGAGGTCCACAGAAGAGGCATTAAGTACATGCAGTCCTCCTTTCTGCTTTCCCTTCTTCCTCAGTGTAGGCTCAGGCTTCTCTCTACTGACTTTTGAACACATATTTAAAGAGTGTTATTTTGAAAGAGTATTTATTACATAGTCTATCCAGATCCCCACATATCTCCGCTTGACCTTGAAATTTAAATACTCAATACTTTTTCTAAGTTTTTGTTACATTGTTGTCATTTGTCCTGCTTAGAAAAATGCGCTCTTCCTTTTTTGTAATAGAAGATTTTGAATCCAAAGTATCTGGGGTGTCATTACTAAGGTTGAAAACTCAGTCCTTATTCCTTGCCCAGCAGGCAAGTTTGGAGGCTTGGATAAAGGGATCAGTAAGGTTGCTATGGACCATAAGATCTAATATCTTGACCATGAATGCAGAAGCAGGGCCAGGACACATTTTGTATCAAAGCTCATCTATCACCTAAAGCCAGACATCCCAGCAGATAATAGGTTATAGAAGAGAGCCTTAAGCCCTCCCTGGTATGCAGCCATAGACCTCTCTGGTCTCACACCCTGCTCTCTGATAGTGTATTTCAATAAATCTGCCTTTACTGTTCGTTACACCTCTGGCCTCACCCTGATTTTCTCCCCACTATACAAAGTGTTGACATCTATAGTTCTGTAATTAGAGAAAGTGCCTACTCTACAGGAGCAAAGGTAGTTGTTTGTACCCTTTGGAGGATTTGGATGGTATAGGGCTTGCATTCTCAACGGTTGATAATAATTTAGATATTTGCAATGGTTTATGACTCTCCAGAGCTGAATGCTACTCTAAGGAATCTTTCAGTTTTTAATTTTTCTTGTTAGAAATTGAATTAAATTGAATTAAATACAAATTAATTAAATTTGTATTTTTTAATTTAAGTTTAATTTTAATACTTAAAGTAGTGTTAATGAAAAAAGTTGAAACTGATGTTGAAAAAGGGAAAAGATGCAGTTGTATGCTTTTTGGTGTGACAAAGTCTCAGTGGGATTTTCAAAATGAGTTAATATTTTTATCAGTTATTAGAAGAGCACTTTGCTGGATCTCATTGGATAGGGAGGCATAATGGTCTGTGACTGTAGAAACTTCAGTCTTATTGGAGAAAAAAATTTTAAAAAAAGAAGTAATAAATTATAGTAAAACATATTGACAATGTCCCAAGTTAGTATAATAGGTCCTATTTTAGGCACAGGATGCTCTGAATTTATGCAAAGGAAGAAATTACTTAATTTGAAATCTTCAGAGAGGCCAGGTTCAAGGAGAATCTAGGAATTTGAAAGATATATAAGATTTGGATAGGGAGAAATCCTGGTTGAAATGCCATTTTGATTTTTTTCTTCTGGTAATAAACTGAAACGTGAGAGCATATGAGTGCTACAGAGATATCCTATAACTACTGTTGGCAACTAACCTAAGAAGTTAATCTTGCTAAAAGTTTAGAGGCTCATTGGTGGTTATTTTTCCTTTGGCATCTCTGATTTTCTGTTAGCCTTACCAAATCTTCCAACTTGAGTCCTGCAAGTTTATCTTTACCATTTAATAGATTATTTTGAAAGTAGGAAAGCACCCCTTTTAGACTATAGAAAGAATCAAGATATTGAGTCATGGTGTCAAATTCTCCACTAAACATCTTATATTTGTTTAATCTGATTTAAGAATTCCATAAAGTACTTACATTTCTTTTCCTGTTTGACAAATGAAAATTGTAACCTCAAGTATTTAAATAACCAAAACTTTTTGAATGGCAGGGCCTTCCTTTGCTTAACACAGAGCCTGAGCTCTTGGGCTTAAAAAAAAAAGAAGGGGGAGGGGGAGGCATTAACAACAGATTTGGTAGTCTTTTTGTCATGAGAATCCAATTTTGTTGTTAAAGCACTGAGTCCACAAGAAAGTTAGAGAGGTGAATGCTGAGAGTAAACTAGCATAGAGTGGAAGTGATGCTCTCCTTCCTTAGACTTTCCAGCTGCTGTGTTAAGGGGTCAGGGACAAGGGTTAATAACAGACAGAGCTGTCCCAGCTGCCACCTTAGAGATCATCTGGTTCTACACTAGCTTTATTTATTTATTTTTTAAAATCTAATAATAATGGAGTTGCACGTATTTTAGAGTCTGTTAGATCCTGAAACATTAAAGGATGTCTGTCTTAGAAATACCTCTCTGTGTCTAGGTCTCTGTAATGCTCTCTGTTTCATAATGGTATGAAAAAGAGGATAATAGGTGGTCTGTTGTGTGATAGTTCTTTTGGGGTGGCTCTCCACTTTAAGAGTTACCTTGCTATTAAAAAAACATGACAGCTCCGTTGTTTGTGAGGTGTTTGAAATTGATTGCCTGCATAGGGAAGTATCAAACTTTTATTTTGGTCACATTTAATGATAAGTGCCACTAGGAATTACATTTTGAATATTTCCCTTTTGTTGACTTCAGTTTACTGCCTAAGCCATTAAGTTGCAAAATAATAACTAAAGACAGCCAAAGAAATGGGAAGTGTTTTACCTCAGTAGGAATACATTCAAATGCAGTGTTTTACCTTACTAGCAGTGAGTTGTGAATTTAAATTAACAAGTTACTCATGTTTGCTTTTAAAATTTAAAAAACATATATAAACACTCATGAAGTGAGCATTCATACATAGCTGATGAATATAAAGAAGTAAAAATTTTTTGGAAAGTGGTTTGGAAATATGTATCATGAGTCTTAAAAATGTCCTTTGGCCAGAAGATTTGTCCTAATGAGGTAACTTTAGAGAAAAATTGGGAGGTACAAAAGCTGTATAAGTTGTTTGGTAATAAGTCCAAATTGGAAATGATTGTGCTTCTGCAACATGGAATGTGTGAGGATCTTTATAAGAATGTGGGAAATTTTTTCTGTATAGTTTATAAAAACAATGAATAATTTTTTGTGCTCTGTAACATCACAATAGTAGTTGATTCTATTGATCATCCTTCATCTCAGCCTAAGTCTCTGCTTGTTTCCTCTTACTTCTGTTACTGGGACATTCATTCCTGGTCAGGGAACCAGAACTATATACTGGGTAAAACTGAGGGGTGCCCAGGGACCCCAAACTGTTAGGGTTTGAAAAAACCTTTCCCATTCTACATAGTCCTTCATACAACCACCACACACATCAAAGCAAAATAATGCTAGTGTGCTCAAAGATCTTTAGCTGATGAGAAATTCAAAGAGGGGAGAGAGAGAAGAGAAGCGAAGTGAGAAGATGAAGGAGTTCTAGAAACAGATTATCAACTAAAATCTGAAATTATTCTCCTATGGGCATTGCTTTAGCTAAATTGGCCAGGCCCAGAGCCAACTAGCCAAAACCCCAAAGCAGAGCTGCCAAGAGAGTGAATCCAAGGCACATACTGGCAGGAAAGCCAGGCAGGACCCAAAGAGCTGGGAGAGAAGGAGAGAGCCAGACTTCAAAGTCTAGCATTCAAACTGAATCCACCAGAGGCATGGCCACCCCTACCTCAGCCTGTTCCACACAATGGTTGTGTGATTCCTTTCTGCATCCCAGAAGCCCCTCCATCCCCTTCCTCTGTTAATTCGACTGCTGGGAGTTGTAGTTACATGTTGGATGTGTGAAGATGGGGGTGGAGTTTTTTATGTCATTTACTGACTGAGATTACCGAGATGGCCAAGCAGAGCCTACCTAACTCCAACACTTCCTTACTGATTGTTCTCGTACTCTCCTTCGCTTCCTCCTCTTCTCTTTTTGCTCTCAAAACGTGGGAGTTCTTTAGGTCTTAGTTCTGGATCCTGCACTTATTTTTTTTTTTTTTTCCATAATGACGTATGGTAAAACTGACTTTTGGGTTTAGAATTCCGTGAATTTTTATCCATATGAAAACTTGTGTAACCATCATCCAGTTCCCTTGTGCTAGTGTTGTAGTCACAGCTTTGATACCCATCACCCCTAACAACCACAGTGGTTTTGTCTTTTGGAGAATGTAACCTTTTGATACAAATGTCTTTTGGGAAACTTAGAATACTGCTTTTGAGAGCCAACAAATTGTGTGTATCCATATATCCTTTTTTATTGCTGAGTAGTATTCCATTATATGGGCGTTTATTTTTTTTGTCACTCTATTAGGTGTATAGTGATAACTCATTGTGGGTTTAACTTGCTTTTTTTTTATTGACAGCTGATGTTGAGCATATTTGCTAGTTCCTACATCCTTTTTGGAGACTTCATTTGGTGAAGAGACTGATATTTTTGAGTTTGAGAGATTTTTATATATTCTGGTTATGTATTCTTAGAGATACTGCTTACAAATACTTTCTTCTGTCTATAGCTTAGCTTTTTATTCTTCTAACAGGATCTTTCAAAGAACAAAAGTCTGGTTTGGTTTGGTTTTCCACTTTTTATGCATTATTAAAAGTAGCTTTATTGAG